AATAAAACACCCAACATATAAAGAGTAGAAGAGGAAGAAAAGAAGGGAGACAAATAAAGAATCAGACTGTGTTTATAATAGTGGAAAAAGTGAGTTATGTTAGACAAATAGTAAAGAAGCTGCCCTTGAACCTTTGGTAACCACGAATCCAAAGCCTGCAATGGCAATAAGTACATATCTATCGATAATCACCCTAAATGTAAATGGACTAAATGCACCAATCAAAAGACAGAGTAATAGAAGGGATAAAAAAGCAAAACGCATCTGTATTCTGCCTACAAGAGACTCATGTCAAACCTGAAGACATACACAGACTAAAAGTGAAGGGATGGAAAAAGATATTTCTTGCAAACAATAGGGAGAAAAAAGCAGGTGTTGCAGTACTTGTACCAGACAAAATAAACTTAAAAACAAGGAAAGTAATGAGACAAAGAAGGACATTACATAAGGGGTTAGTCCAAAAAGAGGATATAACCGTTATAAATATCTATTCACCTAACACAGGAACATCTATATATCTGAAATAAATACTAATACAATTAAGGGGGGAAATAGAATGCTATGCATTTATTTTAGGAGATGGCAACACACCACTCCCACCAAAGGACAGATCCGCCATACAGAAAATAAGTAATGACACAGATGCGCTGAACAACACATTAGAACAGATGGACCCAATAGACATCTACAGAGCTCTTCACCCAAAAGCAGCATGATACACATTCTTCTTAAGTACACATGGAGCATTTTCCAGAATAGATGACATACTAGGCCAGGAAAAAGAGCCTGAGTAAATTAAAAAATATTGAAATTCTACCAACCAACTTCTCAGATCACAAAGGTATAAAACTGGAAATAAATTGTACAAAGAAAACAAAAAGGCTCACAAACACATGGAGGCTTAACAACATGCTATTTATTCAATGGATCAATGACCAAATTAAAACAGAGCAACCAATATATGGAGACAAATGAAAACAACAGCACAATGCCCTGACTTCTGTGGGATGCAGCAAAGGCAGTTCTAAGATGAAAGTATATATCAATCCAGGCCTATTTAAAGAAGGAAGAACAATCTCAGATGAATTCTTTAAATTCACAATTATTGCAACTGGAAAAGAAGAACAAATGAGTCCCATTCAAAGTCAACAGAAGGAGGGACATAATAAAGATCAGAGAAGAAATAAATAAAATTGAGAAGAATAAAACAATAGAAAAAAAAGATGAAACTAAGAGCTGGATCTTTGAGAAAATAAACAAAATAGATAAACTGCTAGCCAGACTTACTAAGAGAAAAAGAGAATCTACGCACACACAAATAGAATTAGAAATGAGAAAGGAAAAGTCACAATGAACACCACAGAAATACCAAGAATTTATTAGAGAATACTATGAAAATCTATATGCTAACAAAGTGGATAACCTAGAAGAAAAGGACAAATTTCTAGAAAAGTACAACCTTCCAAGACTGACCCAGGAAGAAACAGAAAATCTAACCAGACCAATTACCAGCAATGAAATTGAATCGGTAATCAAAAAACTACCCAAGAACAAAAACCACACCAAATGGATTCACTGCTGAATTTTATCAAACATTTAGAGAAGACATAATATCCATTCTCCTTAAAGTTTTGCAAAAAAAATAGAAGACAAGGGAATACTTCTAAACTAATTCTATGCAGCCAGCATCACTCTAATACCAAAACCAGGCAAAGACACCACAAAATAGAAAATTACAGACCAATATCCCTGATGAATATAGATGCAAAAATACTCAACAAGATATTAGCAAGCCGAATTCAAACATACATTAAGAGGATCGTACACCATGATCAAGTGAGATTCATCTCAGGGATGGAAGGATGCTATAACATTCGAAAATCCCTCAACATGATCCACCACACCAACAAAAGAACAAAAAACACATGATCACCCCAATAGATTCTGAAAAAGCATTCAACAAAACTCAACAACCATTCATGATAAAAACTCTCAACAAAATGGGTATAGAGGGAAAGTACCTCAACATAATAAAGGGCATATATGACAAACCCACAGCCATCATCATTTTGACAGTGAGAGGCTGAAAGCTTTTCCTCTAAAATCCGTAACCAGACAGGTATGCCCACTCTCCCCACTTTTATTCAACATAGTCCTGGAGGTCCTAGCCAACCTAGTCAAACAAAACAAAGAAATAAAAGGCATCCAGATTGGTAAGGAAAAAGTCAAACTGTCAGTGTTTGCAAATGACATGATATTGTACACAAAAAACCCTATAGAATCCACTCGAATTCTACTAGAACTAATATCTGAGTTCAGCAAAGTTGCAGGATACAAAATTAATACACAGAAATCTGTTGCATTGTTGTACAGTAACAATGAACAAACAGAAAAAGAAATCAGGAAAACAATTCCATTCACAATTGCATCAAAAATAATAAAATACCTAGGAATAAACCTAACCAAGGAAGTGAAAAACCTATGTCCTGAAAATTACGTGACACTCTTAAGAGAAACTAAAGAGGTCACTAATAAATGGAAACTCACTCCCATGCTCTTGGGTAGGAAGAATTAATATTGTCAAAATGGCCATCCTGACTATAGTAATCTACAGATTCAAGGCAATCCCTATCAAAATCCTAACAGAATTCTTCAACAACTAGAACAAGCAGTTCTAAAATTCATAGGGAACTCCAAAAGACCCCGAATAGGCAAAGAAATTCAGAGAAAGAAGAATATGGCAGTGAGGATCTCACTTTCCAACCTGAAGGTCTACTACAAAGCTACAGTAATCAAGACAATTTGGTACTAGCACAGGAACAGACCCACAGACCAGTGGAACAGAAAAGAGAGTCCAGATATTAGCTCAAGAATATATAGTCAATAATATATGATAAAGGGACCATGGATATACAATGGGGAAATGATAGCCTCTTCAACAGCTGGTGTTGGCAAAACTGAACAGCTACATGTAAGAGAATTGTATTGGATCACTAACTCCGTACACAAAATTAATCTCAAAATGGATCAAAGACCTGAAACGGTTAGATGAAAATATAGACAAAACTTTCTTGAATATAAACATGAATAACTTCTGCATGAAAATATCTCCATGGGCAAAGGAAGCAAAAGTAAAAATGAAGAAGTGAGACTATCAAACTAAAAATCTTCTGTACAGCAAAGGACACCATCAGTAGAACAAAAAGGCATCCTACAGTATAGGAGTATATATTCATAAATGACATATCCGATAAGAGGTTGACATAAAAAATATACAAAGAGCTCACACACCTGAAGGAAGAAAAAACAAATAATCCAATTAAAAAATGGACACAGGATCTGAATAGAAACCTATCCAAAGAAGAAAGTCATATAGCCAACAGGCACATGAAAAGATGCTCCACATCCATAATCATCAGAGAAATGCAAGTTAAAACCACAATGCAAGTTAAAATCACCTCACCAATTAGGGTGACCACTATCCAAAAGACAAACAACAATGTTGGCGAGGATGTGGAGAAAGGGATGCCCTCCTACACTGCTCTTACGGATGTAAATTAGTTCAGCCATTGTGGAAAGCTGTATGGAGGTTCCTCTAAAACTAAAAATAGAAATACCATTTGACCCAGGCATTCTACTCCTAGGAATTTACTGTATGACTGCAGGATTGCAAAATACATATGCATCCCTATGTTTATTCCAGCACTATTTACAATAGCCAATAAATGGAAGCAACCTAAGTGTCCATCAGCAGATGAATGGATAAAGATGTGGTACATATACACAATAGAATATTATTCAGCCATAAGAAGAAAACAACCCTACCATTTGCAACAACATGGATGGAGCTAGAGGGTATTATGTTCAGTGAAATAAGCCAGTCTGGGAAAGAGAAGTGTCAAATGATTTTACTCACATGTGGAGTATAAGAACAAAGCAAAAACTAAGGAACAAAACAGCAGCAGACTCACAGAACCCAAGAATGGACTAATAGTTACCAAAGGGAAAGGCACTGGGGATTATGAGTGGGAATGAAAGAATAAGGAGGGAAAAGGGCATTACGTTTAGCACACAGAATGTTGGGGAAGGGGCTCGGGGGTGAAGAAAGGTTGTGATTCTGTAGCATCTTACTACACTGATGGACAGTGAATGTAATGGGGTATGTTGTCGGAACTTGATAATGGGTTGAATCTTGTAACCACAATGTTCCTCATGTAAGTGTATATTAATGATACCAAAAGAAATAAGAAAATGAAAACAGTGGCAGTGTTGTAGAGTAAAGTAGCATTGCCCGTATTTGCAAAAGCCTGGGACATTTGTCTGGGTGGTATCTATATATCCAGTGTTTATAAATCAGGATCATATTTCCTAGTAATATTGGTGGAAGTGAATGGTAAAGAGGATTATCTACTATTAAGATTAACGTTGAAAGTTCAGAGTTTGAAGTTTTTCACTTGTTTGCATTGATGAGCAATATGTTTTTCTAATAATTGATCGGAACTCAGTAAGCAGTCTATATATGGATGTCAGTAGATGTTCTTTATAACTTAGCTGCTACCAATAAATGAGCTTTCAATCTCTCGGATGCTTAGTGTGACTGTGAAATCCCTACTTAGATAAGCATTGCCATAAAAGTACTGCAAAGATGTTGTTTGATAAATATATCTGTCCTCAGAAATATCTTTTGGAAATGTGGAAAATCAACTTGGTATTTTTTAAGTGGAGAATATAGATTTTAGCAGATAATATAAATCTAAGAAAATATAAAAAGGATCTATATATGTGGAATATACTGATTTGAAGAAATCACAAATTACCATCTAAGATTTTTTTTTACTGCATAGGTGAGACTTGAATATCTCCTCAAATGTAATTTGTCACATGTTTTTGAAATGAAATAGATTAGACCTCACTTAAAAATCATACTATTTAGAGCCTTACTGTTAATTCTATGGAATTCTTTAGTCATCTCCATTAACCACCTTCTATAATGTTCCTAGGTTATTGAATCTTTGGGAATTATTATTTATAAGGCACTGGACTATGGTTTGAAGGAGAATGAAGAAAGAGAATTAAGCCCTCCCCTGGAGCAGCTCATTGATCACATGGCCAACACAGTGGAAGCCAATGGTAGCAATGATGAGGGCTATGAGGCTGCAGATGAAGGCCTAGATGATGAAGAAGATGAAAAGAGAAAACTCGCAGCTGTCCCATCCTATACAGACGTCATGAAGGTAAAGCATCAGTTTTCATAGTACTTGTTTCTTTCAAGAGTTATTTTTATTTTTATTTATTTCTATTTTGGTATCATTAATCTACAATTACATGAGGAACATTATGTTTGCTAGAGTCCCCCCATCACCAAGCCTCCCATGCAAACGCGATTACAGTCACTCTCCATCAGCATAGTAAGATGCTGTAGAATCACTACTTGTCTTCTCTGTGTTGCACAGCCCTCCACATACCCCACCACACATTATATATGCTTATCATAATGAACCCCTTCTTTTTCCCCCCACATTATCCCTCCCTTCCTACCCATTCTCCCCAGTCCCTTTCCCTTTGGTGACTGTTAGTCTATTCTTGGGTTCTGTGATCCTGCTGCTGTTTTGTTCATTCAGTTTTTTCTTTGTTCTTATACTCCACATATGAGTGAAATCATTTGGTATTTGTCTTCTCCGCCTGACTTATTTCACTGAGCATAATACCCTCTAGCTCCATCTATGTTGTTGCAAATGGTAGGATTTGTTATATTCTTATGGCTGGATAATATTCCATTGTGTATATGTACCACATCTTCTTTATCCATTCATCTACTGATGGACACTTAGGTTGCTTCCATTTCTTACCTATTGTAACTAGTGCTGCGATAAACATAGGAGTTCATCTGTCTTTTTGAAACTGGGCTGCTGCATTCTTAGCGTAAATTCCTAGAGGTGGAATTCCTGGGTCAAATGGTATTTCTATTTTTAGTTTTTTGAGGAACCTCCTTATTGCTTTCCACAATGGTTGAGCTAATTTACATTCCCACCAGCAGTGTAGGAAGGTTCCCTTTTCTCCACAACCTCGCCAACATTTCTTGTTGTTTGTCTTTTGAATGGTGGCAATCCTTACTTCTGTGAGGTGATATCTCATTGTGGTTTTAATTTGCATTTCTCTGATAACTAGCGATGTGGAGCATCCTTTCGTGTGTCTGTTGGCCATCTGAATTTCTTCTTTGGAAAACTGTTGAGTTCCTCTGTCCATTTTTTGATTGGATTATTTGCATTTTGTTTGTTGAGGTGCATGAGCTCTTTATATATTTTGGATATCAACCCTTTATCGGATCTGTCATTTACGAATATATTCTCCCATACTGTAGGATGCCTTTTCGTTCTATTGATGGTGTCCTTTGCTGTACAGAAGCTCCTCAGCTTAATATAGTCCCACTTGTTCATTTTTGCTTTTGTTTCCCTTGCCCGGGGAGATATGTTCATGAAGAGGTCACTCATGTTTATATCCAAGAGAATTTTGCCTATGTTTTTTTCTAAGAGTTTTATGGTTTCATGACTTCATTCAGATCTCTCATCCATTTTGAATTTACTTTTGTTTATGGAGTTAGACAATGATCCAGTTTCATTCTCTTAAGTGTAGCTGTCCAGCTTTGCCAACACCAACTGTTGAAGAGGCTGTCATTTCCCCATTGTATGTCCATGGCTCCATTATCATATGTTAATTGACCATATATCTTTGCGTTAATATCTGGACTCTCTATTCTGTTCCACTGGTCTGTGGCTCTGTTCTTGTGCCAGTATGAAATTGTCTTGATTACTGTGGCTTTGTAGTGGAACTTGAAGTTGGGAAGTGAGCACCCCC